CCGGCGCTTGGTTCGCGCGTCCCGTTGGCGAGCGAGAGACGCGCGTTGGCCGCGATGCCCGAGCCGGCCAAGTCCGCCCCCGCGCCCAAGAAGGGCTCCAAGAAAGCCGTGACCAAGACGCAGAAGAAGGGCGACAAGAAGCGCAAGAAGAGCCGCAAGGAGAGCTACTCGATCTACGTGTACAAGGTGCTGAAGCAGGTGCACCCCGACACGGGCATCTCGTCCAAGGCCATGGGCATCATGAACTCCTTCGTCAACGACATCTTCGAGCGCATCGCCGGCGAGGCCTCGCGCCTGGCGCACTACAACAAGCGCTCCACCATCACCTCGCGGGAGATCCAGACGGCCGTGCGGCTCCTGCTGCCCGGCGAGCTGGCCAAGCACGCCGTCTCCGAGGGCACCAAGGCCGTCACCAAGTACACCAGCTCCAAGTAGGGCGTCTCAGATCGTCAGTTTTAACCCAAAGGCTCTTTTAAGAGCCACCCACCTTTTCAATAAAAGGGCTGTACAGTCAAATCTGGAAAAGACTAATTCTTTAGTGTGAATTCTTAATTTACTGTCTTTTAAAGTCCTATTTAAGATGAATTTCGATAATGTATTGTTCTTTAATTTTCTGTGTCGGGGAACATATACTTTATCTGGGCAACAAATGACTTGCTGTAACTAAAGTTTTTTGTATTTTCTTTCTAGGCGACACTTTTCTTATAGTTCTATTACGCTTTTCTTTTAAGATTGTGGTTTGTATGTTTCTTGTGCAATACATCAGTTAATTCTAAGTATGTTCATGTTATTGGTGGTGCTCAGTCTTTTCTTTTTTTTGTAGCGTGAGAGGTTTACAGCGCACTGTGCTGTAAAAGAAGTTACATAGTAGCAAGTGACATTTATCTTTAAGCTGTTACTATAACAACATCTACCACTTGATGGTGCTCAGTCTTTTTTTTTTTTTGTAGCAAAGTGAGAGGTTTACAGCGCACTGTGCTGTAAAAGAAGTTACATAGTAGCAAGTGACATTTATCTTAATAAGCTGTTACCAATAGCCCAGTGATTAATACAAAACAGAAGTCCTTTCTAAAATTATTTACCTTCAGCAATTTTCTTAATAGTTCTGCTGCGCATGTGATTTTTACAGTAACTTGCACAGCTTCTCCCTAGGACTGCTTTAGGGAGAGAATATTCCCCTTGTAACTAGAAACACAAAGTGAAGATGAATATTATTTCATACCTACCCGACCTTTCCTGTATTTATATGTCATTAATTGTATTGAAACTATTAAAAAGTAAGAAACTAGACACTGTGGGCTGACTTCTTAAACTATCAGAGTTTATCATATAGTTACTAATCAGCCTCAAATCTCAGGCTGAATCACTCCATCATGTTCTTGGGTAATTAGACACTTCTGTAGATGCAGATCCAAGCCATTATCGCCTTCTCTCATACTGGCTCTGAATAACCCTGAATTCCAAGCATATTCTGTGGATTTGTGAACTGGCTTAGTCCACAGAGGGACCACAGAATCACAAAAGTCAACCTTTCTAGTACTGACTGCATGTTGTTTGGTGGTACAGAGGCAGGCACCAGGTCTCTCTTAAATCGGCCACCAATTTATCAAAGTTAATTTCAGCTTAAAGGCTGATGGGCATCTCTCAGATTGCATTTCAGATATCCAGTGCTAAGAGTCATCCTCCATACTCAGTTCTCCAGCAGCTTCAAATGGAGTTTTGAGATCTGCTCTCCGAGTGCCTTACTGCAAATTCTGAAACATAGTTTGCATATTCTGGGCCTCTCTTTATGTCCAGTACCTAAAAAGATGTATAAAACATAGTATATTCCTGTGTCTAGATTTTTGTGTAAGGGGATGTGTGGGTCGCTAGAAAGGCACTCTAGAAAATATCATATACTAAAAGTGTTCAGATTTTGACAGTGGTGGTCATCACTGGAACAATTTGTCAGTGGCTATTATTCTCAATAACCAGTCACATGAAAGTCAAAGTCAGTTATGTTGTCCTAAAAAAAGACCTTAGTTCAAACTGGAGCTATCACAGGGCAGCCCTGTTGCCCGAGTTAAAGTAGGAACTCAGTGGTGCCTTTTGGCCTCCCAGTTCAGGAATCCATAAGCATTCTTTTTGCCTTTCCTCACTTTGTATGCTCCATGCTGCACTCTTCATTAACATAGCTTTCACAGAAATTTCGGGGGATTTTTTTTTTTTTTTTAAAAGGCTGTTTCAGTATGTGAAATTGTTTCTAGGCTCATGAAACTCTTCACTCAACAGAAAAGAAAATGTTGCTTATGATTGCTTCTTCCAATCTCAATATGAATGATAAGGCAGTATTAGGGGGCTATAATGTGAACACAGCATTTCTACCTGCACACACATGTCACCAGATCTGATTCTAACACATCCATTATTTTTCCATCAGTGTTGAGACCAAAGTTTCTGAAATGACCAAAAACAACTACCGTGGAAAATTTTGTGTACCTGTTCTTTTCACCAGAGGTCAAAGTAGTAGGATTTAGGCTCAGCAAGAATAGCAAACAGAAAAAGTTCATCCCACAGGAGGATGAACATCCAAAATTAATAAAGCAAATAGTGTGAATATAAAATCATATGACAGCATGTTCTTCCATCTTTCATGTTCTTTAATGTTCTTTCCTATTCAGTTCAAAGCAGTTTTCTTTGTATTCTTAAATCCACTCTACCCAGATGACATCACCCAGCATTGGTAAGATGGCACAGTGTTCAAATACATCATCCTGGTGTAGCAGGAATTATGCTGCCACCACCTAGACCATGGGAGGAATTAGGTGGATGCCGCCTCAACAGGGCTCGGCCCTAGGTTCCTGCTCGAAGAAGACGAATATCCAATACGCTGAGTAAATAAGTGGTTTATTTATCTGACAAGCAGAGCAGCTCGAGCTGGGTGTCTCCAAAGAGGGACCCCTACCCCAGTTCGCACCCCCCAATTATACCCGTACCACCCAGCACCCGATCCCCAAGCCCAATCACTTAATTCTGGTCAGTGGTCTCTTGATTTCTTACTGGTTTTCTTGGTCTCTGGGCTGGCCTTCTTCTGAAGTTACCTCATTCTCTTGGAATTGTTTCCTTGGTCCTTAGCTTCTTCATTCTGCTTGCATCTGCTGGTTTCGGCTAGTTCTGTGTTTGCAGCATTAGTTTTATCAAAAAGTTTACTCTTGTTCAGCTCTTGCGGCCTAAGGCTTCAACTACTTCAGCTTCTAGTGTTAAGCAAGGCTATCAATCCTAACAATTCTCAACACTGGGAAGTGCTAGAATACATCATCTTTAAACAGGCCCTTCGTGCTGTATTTTTATTTACACTCCATGTCTATCTTCAAAATACCTCTTTGTTCACAGCAACTGAAATACAGAGTATATTTATTTTTGGTTATACAAACATTTTTGTCAAAATACTTTTTTTATGTCAGCAACCTTTTGTATGTCAAATTATCAGAGTTACATTACAGTTTACTCCTGTAGTGAATAACCAGCCATAAAGAATACTGAAGAACAATCCAAACAGTTACAGAAAATTCCCCTATCTTATTCTTAATAGAATAATAAAGTTAGTAGCATTCTTGGAAAGACTTATATCTTCTCTAGATCAGCATACCTACAGTAAAATTTATATTTATTAATCATCAAGTTTAATAAAAGAGTGTTTGCATTTCTGCAAGAGTGAAATACACCAGCTGGGTAAACAAATAACTGTATTCTCTAGTTAACGACTGGACAGCAAATCAGAAGTGAGAAATAGATGCCATACACCTGATCCAAAACCTGAACAGATCACATACTGGCTATAGCAAT